TATTTATTTATTAGGCTTTGCCAAATCAACTTAAAATCACTTGTTGTACATACATTAACATAATCGATACATACATTGACATGGCTGGGTATACGCTACAGCTTCCGCCAATTACAGCGACCCTTTACACAATACAAGACAAACATACTTTAAAATATCGGGATTTAAAAGCAGAATACCCCACCAATTTCTCTTTATACAAAAATTTCTGTATATCAAGCTTACTAAATTCGTACCATGCAGAATATTTATATTTTAATTGTTGTTTAATATTCAAGCTGGTTTTAAACACAGCTCACAGACTGACAGAGAATTCTGCTTCTTCCCCAAAAAACTAACAACAGCACGATATGGGACAAGACAGGTTACGAGACGTATTACAAGACAAACATATAGATTTCCAAGTTCGAGGATCCTCTGCGTTATAAACATTTCGTAAGGCAGATTTATAGTGTTTGAGAAGTCCGCTTTTAAATCCGTTAAATGTAGTGTTTTTATCTGTCAAGTCTTTTGGTAAAATGTTCCACACTCTCGTTGATCTCGTCAGGAATGACTTCTGGTATGTTGTGGTCTTGCATTTTTTTGTTGTAAACATCAAACAGTTCGGATCAGCAGATCTTGTAGCTCTTTCTCTATTCTGGATTGTTGGTAGTAGGTCGTTGTTAATGACTATCATCTCATGAGTGCATTTGAAGAAGAAAATCATATCAAGAAATTCGTGCCAGTAACATACAGGAATCATATCTAGCATATCAAGTCTCTGGTTGTAACTGACCTCACAGAAGAAAGGAAGATCCAGAATGTACTTGGTTGCTCGCCTTTGTACTCTTTCCGTGCGCTTGATCAAGTTGACTGATTGGGGAGCCCAGACTTGAGAGCCATAGCATAGTTGGGAACGGACAAGGGACAAATATAGGGTGCGACGAACGGAGATAGTTTTTATGTCAAGTGTTGATCTTCTTATATATCCTAACATCTTACTTGCTTGTGTGCATTGACATTCAACATGTTTTGACCAGGTAAGGTTAGATGTAGTCCACACTCCCAAATCGCGTTCAAACTCGGTGCTTTCTAAGACATTGTTATGAAGCTTGTAAGGGTATTCTATCTTCTTCTGCTTTCGGGTAATTCTTAGAATTTTGCACTTTTCAGCGTTAAGTTCCAGGTTGACATTGCTGGAGCACACTTCAAAGTTCGTAAGGTCTTCCTGTAGCGAGGATGCATCGGATGTGGAGCTTATGGTTCTGAAGATCTTCGTATCATCCGCAAAGGTGGCGATAGTTGAATTGTTCACGGTGTTGGGGAGGTGGTTTTCGTACAATAGGAACAACAATGGGCCAAGTATCGAACCTTGCGGCACTCCGGATGTTACGGCTAAAGGTCTTGATGTTGCTCCATGAACCGTTGTTTGCTGACGACGATTACTGAGATACGATGAGAACCAGTTCAGGATGTTTCCTCGAAACCCAAATTCGCGTAGTCGATGAAGAAGCTTAGTATGACTTACTTTGTCGAATGCCTTCGACATATCTAAATAAATCACGTCTATTTGTTCACCATTGTCCAATTTGCGCCCTATCTGTTCAAATACTTCAATAAGTTGCGTTACGCACGATTTTCCTGGCACAAATCCGTGTTGACAAGGGTTGATTTGTTGGAATACTTGATGTTTGATGTTATTAAAGACGCAACGTTCGAGTACTTTAGAGATAAGTGAAAGCAATGAGATTGGTCGATAGTTCTCTACGTAGGATTTCTCACCTCGCTTATGCACAGGTACGACATTAGCTAATTTCCAATCATCAGGAAGAATGCCACAGCGTAATGATTTGTTGAAGAGTGCGCAAAGTGAAGGAGCGATCTGGAACGCAGTTTCTGTCAGTAGTCGCGCAGGAACTCCATCGGGGCCGTGAGCTTTGTTGTTATCCAAATTTCTCAACACAGCCATCACTTCAGCGTTTGTTAATGTTATGTCTTCCAATATAATGTCAGTTTCCGTATGTTCTTGTTGTCGTTGGTGATCCATATCGGAGTCATGCGTAAAGATAGAGGCGAAATACGTGTTGAATGTATTTGCAATTTCTACGGCGTTATTGGCAGAAGTTCTTTCAGTGTTGTTCACTTTCATGGAAACTTTTTCTGGAATATTTGATACTTTAGTTTTTGTTTTAAAAAATGTCCAAAAACGTTTGGGATTTTGTCCACGAGACGAACAAATTGAGTTGATGTACTTTAGTCGACTTTCACGTAACATTTGCTTGATCTTTCTACGTATACTTCGAAAACTTTCTTTAAGGTGTTGACTTGGTGAACAGGATCTTTTTATTCGCATTCTTATAGAGTTTTTCTTCTTGATGTTATGAAGAATCTCACTGTTCATCCATGGGAGATGGTTTCGAGTTTGAAGTTTCTTCGTGGGAACAAAATCCGATACCGCGGCAAGAAACGCATTTTTCCAGTCGAGCCAATCTTGGTTGATATCACCGTCTTTTGATATTAGCTCCGTGAGATTTAGGGAATGAAGATATGACCGAAGACCATCAAAGTCAGCTCGACGGTAGTCAAATACAGTTCTCTTTATCTTTAGAATGGGGTTGCACGACAGAGAAAGATCGAAAATAACAGCGCTGTGGTCGGTGGAAATTTCTGTATGTGATGGCTTTAAAACTTATCTTACTTTGATACGGTCAGGAATACTAGTGATGACAAGGTCGAGAATGTTTTCTCCTCTAGTAGGCGATGTGTTCAATTGCTCTAAGAAAAAGTCGTTTAGTACTTTAACAAACGCATGTTCATTCCCGCCAGTTTCGTTTTCCCGCGTGTTCCAGCACGCGCGCGGTAAATTGACATAATTTTGACATAACAATCACCCACCCTAGGGTAAAATGAATGGTCACTTAAAAGTACATGCCATCTTCTAATTGGTTGGGCACCTTGCCCCTTTTGTGATGAAAATCTATTCCCTACCTTTATGCCCTGGGACAAAATATTCACATCAACTCTCTACCCTGATAATGTGCAGATGGTAACAGCAAGAATTGAAGCAAGCAAGCAAGCTTTACTGGAGTACATACTATTATTAGGTTACATCAATTCGCACATGTTAATTTGCCAGTCATGATTTTAAATGTAATATTTCTTGTCTCACATAGAATTCTTAAGGTCTTGTTTACATTTTACTGGAAGCAAACTAAGATGCATATCCAACATTTGGGTCATATCACTCATATGTCAGTTTTGCAGCTTGCCAGCTTCAACAACATTTGGCTGCAAGGAAAATGTAAACAAGGAAAGGGCACATAGCTCTTCATCTGTGTTTAAAATATAAATGAATAAATATTCCACCATTGACACTTTATAATATAATGCACCTATGAATGTTAAGCCCCAGAGGGGGGGGGGGTCGGGCATAGGTGGGGCATTTGATTTTTTGAGCACATTTTCAATCAAATGCCCCACCGTCGGGCAATAAATATTGGTCAAATACCCCCACCATTTTGCAATAAATTGCAATAAATACTATATTAATAAAAGTCATTCGGTTCAAAATGCCCCAACTCGCACGGTGGTCGGTTGCTATGCATTTTGCTCCCGGAAGCGCGTGCTTCGTTTTTTCCAGCGGTGTTAGTGTGAATGGGAAATGGCGTCGTTTTACTTTATAATAATCAGAAGGGCCATGCCTGTTTGGCTTAATATTTCTTGCTGTTAGAACAAATTTGTTGGGTATATTTTAACAGATTTATAAACTTCAATACTTAAATGGAACGATCGTGATAATTTTATTTTTAGCTGTCAAATAACAATCGGAACTATTAACTGCCTTCGAATGTAGCTCTAGCGTGGCCGCGATATTTAACTCGCTCCTTTACAGTTTATCTTTCATATTGCGGAACGCAAACCAATGTACACACTGTCCGTCTTTTCGCCTAAATTTGTGTTTCTTCATTAGTATATACAGGTAATTTTAGGGAAATTGTCTGACGCTACTAATACAGTGTAACTATACAGACAGAGAAACATGCTGACTGTTTTGGTTGGCGACAACAAATCTAGCTATAGTTCACGCAAGAATTTGTTTGATGAATATCAGAATATGTTCTATTAAACTTTTTCATTTTATGTTTGTGTATGATGTATTTTTGAGATATATAAACACATACTTCCATTGCATCGATGACAAAATTTATAGCAGATTTAGCTAGAGTGCAATCATACCTAGGTATACTAAATTTTATATATGAATTATACTGTACGAGATCCGCGTAACCACATAAAATAATATAATAGTAACATATATACTAGTGGTTTAAATTTCTTAAGATACGCAGCTTTTCTTGATACAGATTTCATGTCTTTGCGCACACTTTATTTGATCATAATCCATTTAGTTACAATTCGCGACTTCAACCCTCAAAACACGTGTAGTTGTCACGTGATTAAATTTGTAAACAAATCACGAAATGCGGACATTCCAATTTGCATGTGCATGAACTGTGCATAAATATGGCTGACAAAAGGAGCAAAACGTTCAGTTCTATGAACGTCGCAAGTTTAAAACATTATCTACAAGAGCGTGGAATTACAGTAAATGGATACCTAAAACCCGCTTTAGTCGAAATCGCTTGTGCAGTAGAAAAAATGATGTTGCCTATTGACCCTTATTTTCAGCGTGATAATAATGACAAGAATGTTCAGAATCGTTTAATAATTCATGATATTCAGATTGCAGATCCGTTTTCTATGAAGACTGAAAACGATTTTATTACGTGTCCGCCATTTGGTCTTTTAATGACGTGTCCGTCATTCAATCACCTAATTTACCACTCATCCGACTACGACAAGCAAGGCCTTGCTGCATAGAAGTCATATGAAGATTATCGATTATACGAGGACGATTATGTTCGTTCTTTGGAAACGAGTGTAGTACAAGAAGCGGGAGTTCATGTTTTTGTCGGAAAAGTTCAACCAACAATGCGGGTGAAAACGGACGACGGTAAAGACGTTTACGATTTATGGTTTATCCTTGAAGAAAGGGGTCCCAACAAAGGCAGTGCAATCGAAGCTTACTGTAAATGCAAAGGTGGGAGAGATGGGCGATGCAAGCACATTGCATCTGCAATGTATTCTCTTGAAGCTCTTTTAAATAGTAGAGGTGAAGAGAGTGTAACCAGCAGAAGTTGTCAATGGAGGCCAAAACCACAATCAAACAGTGAGCCTTGTGAAATTAAGGACGTAGTGATTGAGAAAGGTAAGCTTCCCTCAAATAAGAAAAAAAAAGAGAAGATACACATGGCTTCAGAATATTGATTTTGACCCACGAAACTCACAAGACCAAGTCAAAAAAGAACATTTTAAAATTCACAAAATCATTGAGCACTTTAGAGTCGCAGAAGGAAAAATCTTCAGGCATTCCTGTTATCTTACCACCCCTACAAAAGCTATACATGTCCAGTGAAACCCTACAAGATCACGCCAGTGATACTTTACCTCGAGGTACCACAGATGTGAAATCAAGTAAACACCAAGGAATCATGAAAGAGAAGGTTGATGAATACCTGAAGAAAAACAAAGAAATAACACCAGAGAATTTTAAAGAAACACTTATGTTTACAGATCGTGAAATAGAGGAGATTGATTAAATGACCATGTCACAGTGGAAATGTGAAGAATGGCACACACATAAGGTAGGATTTATTTCTGCATCTAAATGCAAAGACGTTTTTACAAGACAAACAACACTTGAAAAAAGCACTGATACACCTGTTACTAAACTAGCTAAGTCAATTACTACCTGCCACTATGATGAAAAGTTTTCAAAGTGTCCACTTAATGAGCCACAGAATCCAAGAGATTGGAGACTGAAGCACGAGACTTCTGCAAGGGAGTCTTATCTTCGTGTTCAAAAACACTTGCATCACAAAGTGAAGTTGACCAGCAGGGGTTTTGTGATTTCAAAATATAAGTCATTTATGGGAGCAAGCGTAGACGATATTAGAAGTTGTGAATGTGCTGACAACTGCCAAAACGTCATTGTTGAGTACAAGTGCCCATGGCTACACAGAGATCTGGATCCAAAAAAAGCTTTCTTAACCAAAGAAATCGGTGGATGTGAAATTGGAAATACATTCCGACTTAAAAGAGATGCAAAATATTTCTACCAGATCCAAATGCAAATGTTTGTGTTAGGTCTAAAGTCATGTGATTTTGTTGTTTGGACCACAAAAGGAATCAAGAATATAGAAATTCCATATGAGTCAACATTTATGGAAACAGTATGTATTAAGTTGGAGAAATTCTGGATTTCTCAGGTGGTCCCACTGATGTTGCCAGCAGTCAGTGACTTACCAAATCAAGGTACCTATTATTATTCCTTTAAGTGGAATTACACCCAAATATAGCCTACTTTGTCATTTTACTATCTAATGGCTTTGTTGAATCTTTTAATTATAGAAATGGAAATTCACCAACCCGATGTGAATGACAGCTTGAACCTCAGTAAAACTAATAACATAGTTGAGGAAACAATCACTACCACTTCTCGACCTTCTCTTGTCAGCAACATAACCAGCTTTACAGCTTATGGTGTTAGTATTACTGCTCACGATATTGCATCATTGGCTCCATGTGAAATGATTAATGACAATATGGTTACTGGTTTTTTGAGGTAAGTTAGTCTTACAATAAAAAGCCCATGTGCCCCCTCCCTAGCAGCAACATCAATCACCCTACCTAGTTGCAAGATGATTTTACTAGTCACATTAGCAGGATCACTAGAATTAATAGGGATCCCACTTAAAGTTGGCATATCCATGCAGGTTTCCTTTAATCTGTCAATGAAAGGAAACCTTGGAAATCCAAAGTACAAACCTCACTAACACACTTGTCATGAATTAATAAAAGACGTGCCAAAGGTGGCATGGGCTATCGTATAGATAAACTTCTGATATTATGTAGTATACTTTAATTAAAGGGAACAACCATGTCAGTTTCCAATAGTGGACTGTCTATTTTATTCTGTGTTGTCTGGTGAACAAGATGGAATGTGGACCTCATCACGGTACAGTGTACAGCAATATTTTGACAATCATGTGCAAATTGTTGACATACTAGGCTCACTGAACAGTTTGATATTTTTAGACAGAGCAGATTAAAAGCTGCTGAGAAGTTTTTCAAACCAGAACATTATCAGAATGAATATGTGGTTTTACCTATAGTGAGAAGGTATATGCATAAGATGTATTTTGTTGTGTTGTTGAGTTCATTCACCCATTAACAGGCAAGGATCTACCATTGACGAGTAAAATCGTCTGGCATTACACAGATGGCACATGAGGAATGAGGGTTCAATGCATATTAATGGGTGAAGTATGCAGTAACCATACTTGTTCACTGCATTACCACTAATGTAATTTTTTTCTGTTACTTTACAATATAGTAAGCATTGGTTTCTTATGATTCTTACCCCATGGTAGGTAAATAAGTCCATGATTATTTCCACAGTCTCATATAATTTAACTTAGATATACAAAAATTATACAAACTGTTGAGTGTTTTGATACATTTTTATCCAATTTTCAGGCATATACTTGTTCTCGATTCTTTGACCTGGGACATGACAAACAGAGTTAATTAAGTTGATCTTTGCACAAGGTAAACTGTCTTTTGAATTGTATAGACAAAAAATATGTAATATTAACTTGACTCAAATCTCTATTCACATTTCAGATATCTTGATCATATGTGTGAAGTGAACAAGTTAGATAAGAAACATGCTGTTCTAAAACCTGCCACCTTAAAGGTATTAACTAAGTAAGATAATTATATATGATCCCATATAAAGTGTCAAATATGTATTTTGCAAGTTTGGCATGTATTGATTGGCATGTATTGATACAGCAGTCTTGGGTGGGTGGGTGGGTGGGGTTGGGTTGGTGGGTGGGCGGGTGGGGGGTTGACAAAAATATTTGTAAAAATCTCATTTTTTAAATTTGCAGGTACCCCAGCAAGGCATTTACCTGAGCATGTTTTTGGAGTATTTCATGAAGGTATAAAAAAGTGCAATTGCTTTTTAGCTTTTCATGTTTTGTTTTATCAATGGTTTAGTTTCATTGATTTGATAAACTTTACCTGGAATAGGCTGAATTTTTACACCTTGGGTTATGTGTGTCATACTTTTATATTTTTTTTTTTTCAAATATAAAATCAACTTTCTGGATTTTTACAGGAAATAGATATGTATGAAAATGATCCTGCCCTTTACACACAGAAGAAACATTCTTGGTTCACCAGAGAGGAAGCCCAAAACAAAAGAGTTGAGGTTGAAAGATATTGGAGGACATTGCATGCCCTTCGTGTTAAGAGACATAAAACATTGTAACATGAATTACTATTCCATTCTTATCAAACTTGGTTGTAAATTTACAATGGCCGCACAAACTCTAAGAACTGATGTGATATAAGCTTTGAATGTCAGTGGAATAACACCACGTAAAATACTAAAACATTCAAGTTTCCTTATCATCCGTTCTACATGAACTCGTGTAGTTGCTACTCGTCTTGTTGCTGTAGATGCTCGGGAGGAAACCTTGTTCTTTATCATTAAGGGTGGAGCTATCAAACGAGCACCACGAAGAACTAACAAGTCTTGTATATTAAAACCCTTGTCCGCCATTATGCAATCATTTGGTTCTATCTAATCTAAAAAACCACTCTTTCGTACAATTTCTTTATCGCTTATGGAACCACTGAACAATTTGGATACAAAATTAAAGTGGCATATTGGAGACAAAGAGACCAATAATTTAACTGTGTTATACGATTTATATTGACTGTAGGTGCGTCGCTGGCTTGATGGCAGGGAGGGCTTTTCAATATAGAATTCCGTTCAATCAATAATTCCTCTTAAGTGGTAATATTGCATATCTTTGTACACTTTGGGGCGACGCAATCCTTCCATGTGAATCAATGTCGAAAAATTCAGTAGAAATTCCATCTCTCTCTCTAAGAACAGCACGCAAGTAATAAAAATCTTGCTACCATTTCCAGTAGATATACCAAAAGTGGTACACAGTGTTAATAATGTTGGTCTTCTTCTAAGTCGCACAAGGGTAAAAACAAGCTGCAGTGGCGTAACGTTATATCAGGGGGCCCCCGGTTCAAAATTTTCGAAGGCCCCCCTAGTAGAAGTGCCAAAGGCACGAGTCGAGCGCCGTATATGCATGAATTTTCTAGGGGGTCCAGGGCATGCCCATCGGGAAAATTTTTGAATTTAGACTCTCTGAAATGCCATTTCCTGGACTTTGGGGAGAGATTTTACAGAATTCTGACGGTCATAAAACGACATTGTAACATATCAGAGGCCCTGACCAATGTTTTTGCTCTATAGCCTAAGCCTGGGGGCCCCCATTTAGGTTGGGGGCCCCCGGGTTCTCCCGGTCTGAGCCCATAGTAGTTACGCCACTGACAAGCTGTTCTTTTGTGGTAAGTTTAGTGCAACTTTGCTTTGGGTATAAAATAATGATAATTTTTATGCTCGTATACTAAATGCATTGGAGACAAACACACTGGTTTCACTTTACTGTGATGCAAATAATAAATACAATATTACCAGGTGATGTTTCTTTTTCATAACAGTGGTCTTCTTGCTTGTTGTAGTCGAACCACTCCACATTCTTAGTCTGCTTGCCTTACTTTTAACTAAGTTGTATAGTGCTTCTAGACATTCCTTTGTTAAACCTTTAAAAAATAAAATATTAACCCATAAAGCACCAGCACTATCCCCTTGACGAGTAAAATTGTCTGGCGTTAGACAGATTAAAGTCGTCTGGTGTTAGTCAGAGTACAATAATAAAGTAGGGCGCATTGCAACTAAATGGGTTAAATATGATGAGTTGCTTATGGATTTGCTATATATATAGCTAGTCGTCTTGTCCACATGCAGCTAGCTTGATTTTCAAAGCAATTTTAGATGGCCATACACCTGTGTTAGAGTTTGACCAAACAAAGCTTTATGCAATGAGGTAATGTAGTAAATAATTCACAAAGGGCCACAACTTCATTTGAATGTTATTTAGTGTTATCCTTCATAAAACTATCAAATTTGTACAAATTACCTGTGTAATGATATGTTAATTTCGGGTTATCAACTGCTGCCATAAACAAATATCTTCCAAGAATCTGGCTGTCTTTAAGAATATCATCAGAGTACATTTTAATATCTTTAGCTTGATTAAGTTGGTCTAGAAAATTTAATTAATATTACAATTATTATTTAGCGCTTGATTAGCTATAAATAAGATGGGTTTATTTAATACCTGTACACTAACATCTTGTTTATTTTGTTTGGCCTTGTCAGCAGACAGATTGTCAACTTCGCTAACTTCTAAACTGGGAGTCGGTATACTAGCAATAGATTGTGTATCTGTTGTATTGGCTTGTGGCACTGGAGATTCACTGGTCAGCCTAGGATTCACGAGACCTTCAATAGCCATCTTTTCCTCATCTGCCAAAGATTTTGATTTCATAAACGACTTGTGAAGGTCTAACAGCGCTTCCACTGCATCTTTCTCGTGTCTTCGACTTTTAATTTTTGTAGTATCTACGTTCATACGTGCCGTTGGAGCTTTACGTTTGCGATTCAATCGCTTTACCTATTAACACGTAGAACAAAATGTAGTTGAGTGAATGTTTACAAAAAGATGCAAGAAAAAAATCATTACCTACCTTTTCTCTACTTGCTGTAGCTGATATCGGATCAGGATATATTTTCTGGTGTAGGTCCATTCTTATCAGTGAAGTGTAGACTGCAAATATAGCTGTCTTTTCCGCATACAAAGGAATCGCCCCGATGACATGCTACAATCCACCGTTTTCTCTTTTCTGCTGATGCTTTCCATCTTTTAGGAGCAGGAAAACGATAAAAGCGGACTTCATCTCCTTTTTCATTCTTTGTTAATAAATGTGGGTATCTAGAATCATTCCTACAAGTGCCCCAAGCACAACGTTTTGTGGCAACCATGTTTAATTAATTGCTCATTGTCCGCATTTCGTGATTTGTTTACAAATTTAATCACGTGACAACTACACGTGTTTTGAGGGTTGAAGTCGCGAATTCCAAGCGATTTTGCCGTGAGGAACATAATACATACATCTGTCACTATCAGATTACCAAGCCATGTTGTCTTTATTCGGCGAGAAAACGGCTCCCTCAGCGGGCTTAAGTAAAGGCATGTGCAACTGATTTCTTTTGTAAACTATACCTTTTTATAGATTTCATGTCTTTGCGCACATTTAATTTTATAATTTAGTTACAATTCCAAGCGATTTTCACGACGGTTTTCCCGTGAGGATCATAGTACGTCTGTCACTATCAGATTACCAAGGCATGTTGTCTTTAGTAAGAACACGGCTCCCTTGTCGGAGCTTAAGGAGAGGCAAGTGCAACTGATTTCTTTTGTAAAGTATACCTCAGTCTTCTATAGTTATATTAATGTAAATAAAACTTGTGTAAGGCATGCGATAAGCTTTTATCGAAGTAAAGACGGCCAGCTAACTCAAGACACGCAGCAGGGAGGCGAAGTAAACAAATATGGCACAACGCATCAAGGCAATGTATGAAAATTACATGCGGTTTACAGACCACTTTTTTGCTTTCCTTTTGAACAACTAACCATTCATGTAAGTCAATAATTGGTAAATCTAAATTTTCCCCTTGAGAATTTTCGATCTAGTGCAGTCTAACAATCTCATTTTCTCCAATAAACTGCGAAAATTGACAAATTTGTAACTTATTGGCCGATTCCTCTTGCGCTGTTAAAATTAAGGGGGGGTTGTCAAGGGGGAATTGTTTATATATACATTATCTTACTTAGGGACCCCTAGAAAGTCATTTTAGGCCTTCCATGTGACCGTGTAAACCCCAAAGTGACATCAAAAGTTATGGCAATCTGGAGCCATATTTCTTTAAGTAAATTCTGTTAGGCTGTAAGGAATTTTATGGTCAAGATGAGATATATATCTTCCTATTTCTACCTTAATTAATTAACTTAGTCGATAAGATACAAAAAAGCGAAAATATAGGACGCGCAAAATCGCGTAGCATACTTCGCGTGAAAATGGAACCGCATGACTCTAAGTTCTAATTACGTAATTGAAACCTTAGCGGGAGCAAAATGCTTGGCAACCGACCACCGTGTCGGTGCCAAAATGCTAATCAAAATCTCCAGGGTGGGGTTGCAATTGATGATCAAATACCCCACATATGCCCCCCCCACCCTCTCTGGGGCTTAACATTAATAGGTGCATAAGTGACATTCAACAATAGATCAATAACATATACAGTACATTTCTTTGAATCACTGTATAAAATATTTCTCATAAACTCGCTCCAATCGTCGCACAGCAGAGTCTTTGGAAGGGTAAAACCAAGTTTAACATCCCCAGTTCAAAACACTTTCCGTGTCCTCTTAAGCAACTTAGCCTGTCCAGCTGGAGAACATCTGTCGTAAAACCCAATTGGAAGAACAGCAACTACATAGTTCCCATGTAATAAAAGCTGAAGAATTTGATTTCGAGTACGTCGGTAGCAAAAAGAAGGAAAAATTTCAAAGACTAAACGCATTTTTAAGCCGCTCTAAGCACTTAAATTTTGTGGACACTCTTACGTTGGCGGACATCTTGGATTTTCTAATTCATTATTATTATAATTTATTACACCCACTATATCTGGGTGTTGAAAGTCATGTGACCGGCCGGTGCCAGGGCCTTTTCCCGCCTTCCCAATGACAAAAAGGGAAAAGCCCTGGGAACGAGGTTGAGTACGGTGTAATAAGGTTGAATTTTGATAAAAAAAAAATTGTTAGTAATTGCAATTGTATTGGCTTATATTTACACTATTTAATTTATTAATAATTTATATTTTATTAATATTTAAAATTGTTGAATATATATTGTTGTATATAAAATTATTGTATATAATTTAATATCAATTAAATTTAATTCAATTAAATAAATATTATATGTTCAGATACAAAATCTATTAATTTCAACAGAAATGTGTAAACAGGTTGAGGACAGTGCCGTTGATTAGTACTTCTAGAAGTACCGTAAACCTCCGACTATAAGCCCTGGGCTTAAATAGTTTTGTAAGCGATTTTTGATGGGTTTATACAAGGGGGGGGCTTATATAGGGGGGGGGCTAATACATGGACGATCCTTTGTGTTAGTAATAAACAAGTCAGTCATAAACAGGAAAATAAAATCGCATTATATTATTAAAAGACAATGTCAATGTTGAATAACGTAGTGGGCTACTGGGCTTATATTCAGGGGACTTATATTTGGGGGGCTTTTATTCGGGTGAGCTTATATTTGGAATGAGGTGAGCGTTAATATATGTGGTTGGCTTATATTCAGGGGGGCTTATATTCGGGGGGGGGGGCATTACCCATTTAAAAAAAGTGTTTGCTATATGGTCCCTGATAAGGCAACCTCTTGCCAGTCCTTGGTATTCCTGAACATCCGCCTCATCCTCTTCATCACCTTCTTCATCTTCCATTGGCTCATTAAATTCAATTGCAATATTATGCAATATTGCACATGCACCAATGAGCTGGCAAACCTTTTCAGTGTGCATTCTAACTTCTGAGTGCAGAAGATGGAATCGTCTTTTCCATCTTCCAAATGTTTGTTCAATTAAGACCCTTGTCCTTCTATGGTCTCGATTAAATCCTCTCTGGTTTGCAGTGGCTGGCTCATGATATGGCGTCATAAGGTATGGCTTTAGTGCAACAGGGAATTTTGCCACTGTCGCCAAGCAAAATTCCCTCTTCCAGGTTGTTGTGGTTGTCCTCAAGTTGCTGGCAAATTTGGGATGTGTGGAAAATATGGCTATCGTGGGTGCTGCCAGGCCATCGAGCCACAATATTGGTAAATCGTCCTAAAAGAGAATTGGTTTCAACATATTTAAACAGTGCCATAAAAAATAACAATTTGCTTGGTCAATTTTCAGTGGAAGCCCCCCCCCCCTCCCTCCCTCCCTCCCAGGAGCCACACCCTAAGTAGAGGCATGCAGACAAAGTAAATGGCAAATGTATCAAGGGTATAAACAAGGCGCCTACCTCTCAAAATTTTTCTCGCATAAAAGCAATAACAGTTTATTTCTCTATTTGCTATAATATAAATAATTACCTTCGTGATCACAAATTCCTTGTACGTTGATTGAGTGATAGCGCTTCATGTTTACATAATTGTTCTCATTATGGTGTGGCGCCTGGATCCTAATGTGCGTACAATCAATACAACCAATCACAGACGGAAAGCCAGCTTGCAAAAAAAAGTTGTTTTTGATGTTGTCGATCTCGTTGTTCAAAGATGGCCATTTTATGAATTGATTCCGCCTTCTATTCAATGCCAGAGATACACCCCCGACGGTTTGAGACACTGTGGATTTATCTACGCCGAGACTGTCTCCTATAACTTGTAGGAAACTGCCCGATGCAAAGAATCTCAAGGCAATGAGGACTTGCTGCTCTGGCTCAAGTGCATGGCCTCGCTGGGTATCTTTGAAACACGTTTGTTTCGTATTCCAAAGACAAACACGTAGTAATGTTGTCCATCAATAACGACGATATCAAACAAGTCAAAAGTACAACCTTTTTAGGAGTATAGTTATTGATGAATGTTTATCGTGGAACGATAGGAACCGTTGTAAAGAAAATTGTAAAATCTGCAGGAATTATTCTTCACAAACATTTTTATTTCAAAGAACCAAATTCACCAATACAACACTCGAAACTCAACTAAACTTTATAAGTCTTATCAGAGAACTAACTACGTCAAGCACTCGCTTTCAGTGAAAGAGATTGACGTTTGGAATAATCGTGACAGTAATTTAAAAATAACAAGACGCCTGCTCAAGGCGATCGCTCCGTCTATAAATGGGAAAGGCTGCAACATAATTGCTTGGGGTGATGTAGGAAGTTGATTGAAGTATGCATGGTTAGCACCTTACAGTATTATAACCTTGGCAATTTGGCAAAGAGTAGCATAATACTGTACATACAAATCAGAAATGAAAGATATATCTCCAGTGCTTTAAGTACTACAATCTTGGCAAAAAGTTAATGAAACACCTATAAAAAATCAATAAAACAGACAAAATCCCCTCCCCCCTGCACAATGTTGGACATAGATTCTAAAAAATTGTGTACAATAGTTCATCGATGGCAGAGAGCACTATGTGTAGGTATCTTGCTCATCTTAATCAACATTGGAAGGGGGGAAGGGAGGAAGAAGAAATTAAATTGTTAATTAAACTGGATGTTTCATTAGTTTTTGCCAGGATTGTAGATACTGTAAAACATGAGCAGCCGATCTGTATCTGATATACAAACTAGAGCCGAAGGCGAGAGTTTGTATATCAGATACAAATCGGATGCGAATGTTTTATCGTACTTAAAAAATTACCCATCTTATGAGTTCATTGGCAAAGTAAATTTGAAAATAAACATTGTCTAAGCCGAGAAAATCAAAGCTGAAGTTTATGTAAATCAGGACAAATCTTTATCCGATTTACAAACATTGATTAAACATTCATTTCTTTTGTATTTTCCCCGTGAATTATTAATTAATTTTTTAACTATACTTAAAAAGCTCATTAATAATTCATGAAGAAAACACAAAGAAAAATCATAAGCGTGTCGTATCTGTATATGTGATACAGATTCATGTTGATTTACACAAATTTTAACTTTGATTTTCTCGGCCTAGACAACGTTTATTTTTAAAATTACTTCGCCAATAAACTCATAAGATGAGTCGTTTTTTAAGTCATTTACAACATTCGCGTCCGTGTTGTATCGGATATACAAACGCTCGAGTTTGTATAACCGATACAACACGGCCGCTCATGTTGTAAATAGTACTTAGTCTACAGTTTATCTTATTAATTCTAGATCGTATACAGTTCTACTTTAAATGCATAAATAGTACATACTTGCACATTTGGTTCCCAGAAGGCTTGGGATATATGTCATTGAGAAATAATAAGCTAGGTGGTATAATATTATAGTATCTGGTCTTCCATCAAATTTCCACTGTGTTTTATGTCAGTATCGTATTCTGGGTTGATCTTTTCTTTTAGGATAGAGAATGTTTCAACAGAACTAGTAATAGGCCTAGTTTCCAATATTCTTCAGAGACATACCTGTAACCAATAACCATCAATCCATTATACATTAATCATTATAATTAATGAAGAGCATAGCCGTTGATAACCTAATGAAGTAATGAGCAAAATTTCACAGATGACATAGAGAATATACGTTGTGCAGGTCCAACATTACCGAGTCATCAATAAACTGTATAAATTAACAATGGTCACGTGCCCACGTACATATTCATGTTGCCACAAATAACGTCCAATCGACGTTATTATTTCACCCACCCCAGATAAAATCGATCGATATTCACCCTTATTTTGAACGCTATAAACTCATAATTATTGTACATTACTTCCGTCATTGGCCGGGATTGTATTTTGATACAATATTTAAAAAGTGATTTGTTTTTTGCCGGAATGGCAATAAACAATACAACCAAGATATAGCCGTTCTCTAAATTAAAAAGTCCATAATTAATACATGTCATATACTTGTTGGTAGAACGTGGCCACCAAGGTAAATTATTTAAAAATCTTTTAATGCCAATGGTGATCTTGTTTACATGATATGTCTACTGAGTACTGACAGTCCGGCTACAAAATTAGAAAAGTTACGTTCTTAATTAACAATTTGCTAATACTGTGCCTGGCTGTGGAGGTTCCGTTGAACTTAGCCTTCAGCCTTCTGCATATAGTCTATATAGGGGTAAGAAATTTGTATAAAGTATAGAAGAAACAGAATAGCATGTTAAAATCATACCACTTTAAAGCTTTCAACGTCTTGGTGACATAATAGCCATAATTCAACCTGATTCGTTCTTTCGTTGTTGTTGCCCCAACAAAAATACGTTAATGCGTAAAGAGTAAGTCCAGAGTACAACACAACATGAAAAACACAATACAATTTGGTGAAAATTTAGCGAAATTGCCAGAAATGGGCTATTCCATTTAATATCCGTACCCCCCTGTCGAGGATACATGTTTTTCATTGTCATACCCCTGAAGAATTCCAAGCTCAAAACTGTTTACCCCTGAAGAATTCCAAAATTCCAAGCTCAAAACTCTTTACCCCTGAAGAATTCCAAGCTGAAAACCTTTTACCCCTGAAGAATTCCAAGCTCAAAATCTTTTACCCCTGAAGAATTCCAAGCTCAAAACCCTTCACCCCTAAAGAATTCCAAGCTCAAAACCCTTTACCCCTGAAGAATTTCAAGCTCAAAACCTTTTACCCCTGAAGAATTTCAAGCTCAAAACCCTTCACCCCTGAAGAATTCCAAGCTCTGAAAAATTTCAATCTCAAACCTCTTTACCCCTAAAGAATTCCAAGCTCAAAACCCTTTACCCCTGAAGAATTCCAAGCTCAAAACCATTTACCCCAGAAGAATTCCAAACTCAAAACACTTTACCCCTGAAGAATTCCAAGCTCAAAACACTTTACCCCTGAAGAATTCCAAGCTCAAAACCCTTCACCCCTAAAGAATTCCAAGCTCAAAACCCTTTATCCCTGAAGAATTTCAAGCTCAAAACCTTTTACCCCTGAAGAATTCCAAGCTCAAAACCCTTCACCCGTGAAGAATTCCAAGCTCTGAAAAATTTCAATCTCAAACCTCTTTACCCCTGAAGAATTCCAAGCTCAAAACCCTTTACCCCTGAAGAATTCCAAGCTCAAAACCATTTACCCCTGAAGAATTCCAAACTAAAAACACATTTAGCCTGAAGAATTCCAAGCTCAAAACACTTTACTCCTGAAGAATTCCAAGCTCAAAACCCTTTACCCCTGAAGAATTCCACGGATCCTCGACAGCGGGGGAACGGATATTAAATGGAATAGCCCAATATTATTTGCTCACTCATCACGCAACTGCCATTTTGAAACTGAACTATATAGGTCACTGAAGCATACTTGCAAAATCACCCATAATATCGATAAAATACACCGATATACCTGAGAAGTGTTCATTTTGTGACATTAAAAATGGGACGTTTTACGAAGACCATGTCAAGTCCGTTCTGCGCATCAGTTCTGCACATAACAATGGGGGACCCACAGATATAAACATTGCCCAAACTTTACATCTTTCGAACTTTTTTGAATTGAAACCCACTGTAGTTTATATTCATTTACAAGAAGATTCATTTACAATACAACTCATTTATAATACAATTTATTTACCAGAAAAGTGTTAGATAGCAGTTCCAAATGTAAACAAAGGATTTGTTTACATTACGCACTTTACATATGGTCTTATCATACACTTCTATGTAAATAATCTTATAAAACACTTTAATTGTAATTTGTCTTCATGTAAATAGATATTTAACTCAAGCTTCCCATTTTAACTATTAATGGCATATGCTCTCCTTCTGATATTGATTTGATTGTAACATTTTATCTTCATGCGATCACTCTTTGTAAATACTTAGAACCGATGACAATATAACTATATATATTAGCACATTAGGGGTCTAAATCCAAAAGCCTGTTCAATGTTTCTATAGACTCCTAGCCAAAACGTATCTACTTTATTTTTATTTTTTATGTAAATAATGTTATATCCCCCCAATGATGCCCCCCCAAAATTATCCCCCCCCCATTTCGCCCCTGAAAAAAAATATTAGTTACTGAGAGCGACTAAAGGCTACACAAGCGTTTTGTCGTTATCGGAAAATGTATAGCTTATAAGTTGTCATTACTCATTAGTGAATGCGCGTATACATGAAACTGTTTTTTACAGTTCCAATATTAGTTTGTAAATCTCTGAATGGTTAAACTTACCAATACTCCAATAATACGTTTCAAAAAAGACAAAAAAGCTTTAGTTTTGCAAAGTTAAATTCTCAAACCTGTAAAGGCCCACACAGACCGGACGCAATTCGGCAAGGCGACGCGAATTTTCAGTTTTCAAAAACAAATAAAACCGTCAACGGATAAAATTTTACAAGGTATGCAGACCAAATAGCTAAAATTGCTAAGTGGTGCCGAATATTTGAAAAACAATGAAAAATATTAAAGTTAAATGTCTATTCAAAGCTATCAAAGGAATGCTAGTTGAAAAAATGCAATAAGTTTCCCCGGCGTAATGATACAGCTCTCGTTAACGAACTTGGCAAATATTTTGTTCAGAAAATCTCTAGCTAATATCCACTCTGAGATAAACAACGAGATTTAATTTCTTCAAATAATGATCGTCACGTAGATCCTTCAAGTGATGACAATGAGGAGTATCCGGGTGATGTATCGCATTTTGATGCGTTCATGCCCTTGTCTGAAGATGATGTTAGAAAGCTTGTTATGGACTCACACAAAAAATCCTCTTACCTTGATCCAGTTCCAACAGATTTCTTGGTGAAATTTCTTGATGTGTGACTTCCTGTGATTACAAAAATAATCAATATTTCACTTGAAAATGGGTACTTTCCTAGAGACTGGAAGGAAGCTATCATTCTTCCCATATTAAAAAAGTCTGGGTTGGAATCCGCTTTTGAAAATCTTCGTCCCATCAGTAATTTAGTATATATTTCAAAGCTTATTGAACGAGCAGTATATAATCAAACGCACGATCATATTTTTCGATGTAGCTTTTATCCACTTTTGCAATCTGCTTACCGGCGGTATCACTCCACAGTCCACAGAGACTGCGTTACTCAAAGTACTCAATGATATTTTGTTAAGCATGAACAGTCAACGTGTCACTCTCTTGGTTCTTCTGGACCTAAGTTCCGCTTTTGACACAATTGATCATGGAATTTTGCTGGAACGGTTAAGGTCAAAATTTGGAATACGTGGAAAAGTTCTCAATTGGTTTTCTTCCTATTTGTCTGGTCGAAGTCAACGTGTTATGCTAAATGGTACCCTGTCTGATTCATCTGATTTGAACTTTGGTGTCCCGCAGGGTTCGTGTTTGGGGTCTCTTCTTTTTATATTATACGCCTCCAAACTGTTCGATATTATTAACAATCACTCGCCAGATTCACATGGTTTTGATGATGACACTCAGTTGTATGTGTCATTCAAACCTGACTATCGCATGCAATGTGAAGCGATCTCGGTAATGGAAAGTTGTGTCAACGATCTTCGGAAATGGATGATTCAAGATAAATTGAAACTAAATGACGGTAAAACTGAACTGCTAATAATTGGATCTAAGCAGCAACTGCAGAAACTTAACCCATGCCATGTAAGTGTCGGGAATGCCGATGTCCTTCCTGTACCAATAGATCGTGATCTAGGAGTTTGGCTTGATTCAAATTTATCAATGTCATGTCATATAACAAAGACATGTGGTACCGCATTCTATTGGCTTCACAACGTCAAACGCATCAGCAAGTTTTTATCTCTGGAAAATCCGTTTACTGTTATACATGCCTTTGTTACAAGTCCACTAGATTATTGTAATGGTCTCCTGTATGGTTTACCTAATACTGAATTGATTAATTTGCAGAGAATTCAGAACGCCGCTGCAAGTTTAGTGACTTCAACACGAAAATACGATCTCATTACACCTATATTACGTGAACTACACTGGTTACCTGTGAAGTTCAGGATCCATTTTAAACTGCTATTGCTTGCTTTTAAAGCTTTACATGGAATGGCTCCAAAGTACATGGTAGATCTGCTTGTTGTCAAAGTGGAGGGAAACTACCTTTTATGCTCCAATGACAGCTTAATGCTAGAGTCCCTAAGGGTAATTTTTTACGGTCATTTGGCGATCGATCTTTCACTGTGACAGCTCTGAAACTTTGGAATGAACTTCCGAAAGAAATTCGTGACATTTCGCCAATAAGCGTTTTTAAAACTTGTCTTAAGACTCATCTTTTTAAACTAGTTTTTGGTATTTAGTTTATATTATAGTTAACATTTCAACATTTTATTACGCTTTTAACGTTAGTTATATTGTATTATCATATAAGTGTGATATAACAGACGATTTGATTGGCTAATGCGCGTGCATTGTGACGCAATAATGCACTGTGATCTGTGGCGCTGCTTTGCTCTTTCTCTGTTTTTTCGCCCTCTGCATCACTGCTTTTTAGCCAAAATTATACACAAAATTATAGTGCTTTTAAAATACAAAATTTACCAGAAAGCAAGAAGAAATAAACCAAAGGGACAAAGCAATTTTTTATAGTTCTACTTATAAAATTAACCGGCTTGGCATTCGTCGAATTTGTTGTCGTCTCGACAAGTTTTGGGTAAAATTAAAAAGCGCACAAAATAGTCGAGAAAAAAACTTGAAAAAGATACAGCTGGAAGACCAAATACATACAAAAAAGCAACAAAAACTGAATATAAGTGATTTAGAAAGTACCTTCAATTCTTCTAATAATAACTGCTAGATATATTTTCGGCGAAAGACAAAAAATACAATATTTTCGAAAATTAAAACTGAGTAATAAACACGACGAAACCTACGATTTACCGTCTTTCATGGCAAATTCAGCAGCCCAGATGCTGAAAAACTTTGGCAAATTAGTCTGTGTGTCACTGTTTTTTTTAATTTCACTATTTGAAACAATTGTTCCGGCTTTATAGCATCAAAAGTTTGTATATTGTTTTGGCAATTTTTCTCCTTTGCTCGCTTAAAAATTCAAGCGACAGTAAAAGCATGCGCGTGACGTCAATGAGTACATGTTAGGAGAATTTCAACGTCGATCTTTTGAGTAAAATTGTTTACTATGTAATATCTTCTACTTATATTATAAAAGAAATAGAAAAATTCGTCTCGTGCGTTTATGGTGTGATAATGCACTTGGGAAATGTTGGGAGAATACTCGAGAAGCGTGTAAAACACTCGGCTACGCCTCGTGTTTTACTCGCTTCTCTCGTATTCTCCCAACATTCCCCGCGTGCATTATCACACCATAAACGCACGCGACTCGTTTTCTATTTCTTAAATACAGCGCTTTTGATCATTACATGTAAAAAGCGCTTTATAAATTATAAAAATTATTATTATCATTATTATTGAAAACTGAAAATTCGTGTCGCGTTGCCAAATAGCGTCCAGTCTGTATGGGCCTTATGGCACTAATAAGATGAAAGTATCACGAAATTATTTGAATAATTATATAAACCACATCGCATATATGGGGGGCGAATATCCTAAAGGGGGCGATATTCCTGGGGCATTCGCCCCTCTGGGGGGATATTCCTAGGATATTCGTCACCCGGGGGCGGTATTCCTAGGAATATCGCCCCCTTTTGAGAGGGGAGCGAATCCCCTGGAGGGGGGGACAAAAGTCCTGTGACAACGGCATGGGCAAATTTTGCATTGAACGTATTCTTCTTTCCCTCTATGAATGGGGATTTGCATCTTAAATTTACAATATCACATCACACCATTTTGGAATCAGAAACCATCAGAAATGCTGCGCATGCGCCACTAGCTATGTTTACAATATGTTTTAAAAAGTGAAGTGATTCAAATAATTACACTTTAGTGTTTTGAAAATTTAAAATTAGTAAACTATTGAACTAGCCGATGAGTATATGTATGAATAATTAACTAGCAGTGAGTCAATGCGACGGTTATTTATTACTGTTTGTTAGTCAGACTTGTACTGTTCTGACATCTGCTGTTTGCTCATTGCGAATGTTTGAAGAAAATTAACGAAATAAAGATTTTGGTAAGTTTCTTTTTACTTTGTATCAAATGTATAAAGTCTATTCAAAATTTTGTTGGGTTTGATTTCACTTAGAAATTATCTATCGCAAAACAGACAAATTAAATGCAGTTGAAAGTTGATACGATGATTGACATAAGTCTTACAGTTTTCTTTTAGTTTTACCATAAGTATTACTCAAGTTAAGAACAGTTTCAATTTTAATTTGAATCATCTTGCACGGCGTACCACTGTTCGAACTTTGACGGTCACTTTACTTACTCTACTTCACATGAACTGATACGAATTACAGTTTTAGTTTTAATGCATGCTCATCATTCAAATATAGAAGGCAAATTGAGTGGCGCGACAATAATTAAGAAGCGGTAATTTTGATCCCTTAAACAAAATCTTGCATGCAGGTGTATAGTGAGAGCCAAAGACGGTCTGCAGACTTACAGGCGAGACTGGAAGGTTTTGTAACCAGACACATATTCAGCCATTTCCTTTTGTTCACGTGGTTCATTAGTACCGCTAACTGTCGATGTACTTCACTTTTTCCATACATGTCCTTTTGTTCGTTTGGTTTAAGTGAAAATTGAACTGAAGGCGGATTTAAACGACGCTACCAACCATCCAAACAATCGAATCATACCATTTGAGAAGACGCAAGCTTCAAGTTTCCATGATTCTTACTATTTATCTTAAGAATGTTTCTTGCGATGGCACAGTATTCAAATAAAGGCTCTATTCAGAGCACTCTGATGGTCAATCATGTCGCCCTAGCATGAGCAAATTTTCGGCAACTATTTCAGACATACAGAGGTCAACTATACTGTATGTGGAAACTTGTTACTTATAGCGTTATAGAGAGGTGGGCAATGTGTAAGTTAGTTGCGCAGACAAATAATGTGACAAAGCCTTTATAACAGTGAATTTTAATATATATGTTAGCGAACGGAGTAAGATGGATTTTTAGTCGAACAACAGTAGCAGTAATCAAACTTAAGACGGAGTGTATGGTACTTAACATGGATCATCGTAAGTTGTCGTCATTCCTGCCTATTTTCTTGTTAAAATGATTATCGAGTTATCTACTTGGCACAGGATATCTCTTCAGTCACACAACTTTTTGAGAGGATAAGGAATGAAGCTACATGACGGCTTTCACCAACTCGAATATCCCTCGAGATCCTCGGTTGCGCGCATAAAAAGCGGAAAGATCTTCAAAATGGAAGGCTTACTTTGGAATGCTACCTCGCTCTAACTCGCCGCAAAATAATGGAGTTTAGTCGACTTAGGCAATTTAAGCCAAAATACAACTTTTTAGCATTGTGAGTTTGGACGATCGAATTATGGAGCCATATGCGAGAACATCAGTGATTGAATGCAAATGCATGTGGGCGATTTATTAATTTAAGGCGAATTAAGATCCAAGAGTATATAACCCAACAGAATATCAGTCAGTGATCAGTATAAAATTCTATTCCTTTTCATCAAAGCATTAGAAAAAAAATAAATTAAAAATAGAGAAATGTGTTGACATGCTTAATTAAATTCCTTGTGGTTCTGTAAGGAAATAGTTACTGCAAGTGTATCCAATGTATTATAATATAATACAGCAATTTGGTTTATTTTCGGTGTATATAATAAATACGATAATAAAGGCATGCGTGACTCTATCGCATGCATTTTGCCTTGGTCAAAAGTACAATTTATTTTAATGTTTACAATTTAATAGACTTGAATTACATGGCTTATGTTTTGTTCAACAAGCTACATGGCGCCACAACAGGGCCTCTTCTAATACCGTAGACTGCGACTTGTTGCGATGCGACGTAAAAATATACACTCAGTCATGAATCTATGGATAGGCTCTAAATTTCTTACAATGTCCCAATGATAGCTTGATACAACCTATCACTGTTAGAATTACCTCTCGCGAAGAACGTTTTTCAAATAATACTAAGAATGATAAGATAATTGTCAACAGAAATGATTTGACTAAGATTCCAAAATCACCTGCGTTGGGATGTAAACAAAGACATGTAATGCTAAATGTGCTTCCATATATTTAACGTGTGATCAATTTTAAAAAAAAACCCCTGAACTTGTGGTTGTGATTGAGCAATATAAATCATATATTATACTATAGTGACTGAAACGTGGCTGGCATATGATGTGCCGGACCAATCAGTGAACATCACTGGTTTTAACCTAACAAGGAATGATAGAACGATAGGAAGAGGTGGTGGCGTTGCAATCTATGTTAAAGAAACTATAGGCCGTATTCTGTGGCACGATATCGTTCAGTTCCGTTGCCCGGGTTCGGGCACTACTTTGAAACAAGATAAATAATTAGGATAAATTATACAAAGTCCAAATCCGCTTGTTTGCACTTCCCAAAACCTGCAGTTTTCGAGTATTTCTTCTTCGAAAATTTAAGAAATCGACATTTTTCGCAATCGATCGCCGCCATTTTTGTTCAGGATACTTGGTGTAATAAACACTATAAATGGCGATTTTCGCGGGCTCATGCTCATTCTTACATGAAGTTTCCAGCTTAGCATTTGTAAATATGGCGTCTTCTGATTCATGTTTAATTTATTTTGATGGGGAAAAAGTCCCACCCACTTACAAGTTTTAGTGTGGTTTCGTATCAAAAATTTTTTAGATTGTAGTAGAATTTGGCTAACGCTAGACGAGGAAGAACGCAATGTTGCTCAAAGAAGTTTGCAGTTTGTTAGCGACAGCATGGAAGTAGCACGGTCGAAAATATCGATGCAAATTTCTCTTTATGTCATCGAATTAGTTGTTACTCGGCATTCACAAATAGCAGTATAATCAACCGAGCTCAACAGCGTTGTCAGAATATGGACAAAGAAGGTGTACCTTTATCCTTTTGTATCGATATTATTGATGGAGAAACGGAATCAGATGAATACGAGTGCGGCAGCTAAATCATGAATCCCACTTGTTGTCATGCCGACTCATGCGTTTGTATAATCTGCTATTAATCAGAAAAGTCGTATTTCCTTGAATTGGTAAGTTTATTGATTTATTTT